GACCTTGCACGGAGGATGCGACACGGCACGTCAGCGGGCACAGGGGCGAGCGACGTCCCGCCCGTGACTCCCCGCCCCTGGCTGCACGGGGTCAGCTGGGAGAGGGAGACAGGGCAGGTGGCAGGGCTGGCGGTGGGGTCTGTGAGGGAGGAATGGGCAGTTTTTAGAGGAGCCGCATCATGGGCATTAAAGCTCTTAGGGGAGAATCAGAAAAGACGTCTTGCTGCCTGAGCCAGGCTGGGCAGGCGGGGGGCGGCTGAGTGGGCGCGGGCCCGGACAGGAAGGTCGAGCCTTCCCTCCCCCCGCCCCCCCAGAGCCTGGCAGTGCCTTGAAGCAGTGAAAGTGTCAGTGGGCGAGGCTGGAGCCCTCAGACCTCAAAATAGAGCCTCCTTCGCCCCTGCTGGCTGAGTCACCCTGGAATGTGGCGGGCCTGAGTTGGGTCGAGGGCCAGAGCCTACGACCAGCCCGGCCAACCCCAGCCCGGCTAACCGCCCGCCCACCGCCCACTGACCGCATCAGGGCCCCGGCGCCTGGGCTCCCAGCTTCCGGCCTTTGTCTGCGTCTCCTTGGGATGCGTCTGGGGAGACAGGAAAGCTGCCAGAAATAACACCTGGCTCCGGCTGCCGGGACAAAGGGCTGGGACAGGAAGCCCCTCCTAGGCCTTGCGTTTGGGCAGGTGGCTGCAATCTCTCTGTTAGATGCACCCCTCATCTGCGAAGTGGGGTGTAAGTGTCCAGTTGGGGTGACTGAGGGCCAGGGTAGTGTCAAAAGCCTGGGCTCTGCAGACCTACTTGGATTGGAAACCCAGCTCCTCTAGGGTGGGCCCCCTGGCCCCTCACACCTCAGTTTCCTCCTCTGTAAGGTGGGCCTGCAGTAACAGTTCCCTCCTCGTGGGGTTAGGGGGAGGATTCATGGAGTTGGTGGGGTGAAGGGCTTAGCGTGGCGCACCCCACACTGCCAGGGCTCATTCGGTAGGTGTTAGCCATGATTACCAAGCAAGGAAACGTTTGGAAAATGCCAAAGCACAGTGCCTGGTGTGTAGCTGGCGCTCAGTAAATGGTGCCCAGGAGTCTTACTGGTCCCTCGTCTCAGCTGCTCCCGGCTAGCAGGTGCCAGGTGCTCTGCTAGGTGCCCTTAACCCCTTTCCTCCCCTCACAGCCCAGTGAGGTCAGTAGTGGGGTTACTCCCGCCTCACAGACGGGGAAGAGAGGCAGAGAGAAGCGAAGTCACACAGCCGGCAAGAAGCATGGCTAGGGTTTGAAGTCAGGAGGAGTGGCGCTAAGTCTGGGCTCAGAACCACCTCGCCCTCCCGTCCCTTACGCAGAAATCGCTGCTCCTGTGTCCTCTCTCCCGGGGCTTTGACCTGGAGCGGCTGGGTGCACCAGCTCACGGCTTGGCAGCGTGCCACACGGGCCTTCGGGAGAGGCTGCCTTAGCCCAGGGGCTCGGCGAGGCGAGGCGCCTCCTCAGGACCCCAGCTTCAATCTGCAATCTCCTCTGCCTAGAGAAGCTGGGCTTGGAACTGTGGGCGGAGAGGCAGGGTGGGGGCTGGGGAGAGAGGCGGGGATGGTGGGGGAGGCCCCTCCCAGGCCCCCAAACGTCATCTCTGGTTCTGTTCCCGTCTTCCCCAGCCATGGCCCTCACATCTGGCCATTCTCTCCTGCCTACCACCCTTTGGGTTATGTTGGGGGACAGCCACACAGAGGGAAGGGGAGGCAGGGGTGGAGGAAGAGGGAGAGGAGGAGGAAAGGGATGAGGAGAAGTTGGTGCTCCCCTGAATTGCTGGGGTGGGGAGTCAGGTGCTAGGCCTGGCTCACTGGGCGCCGTGACCTCTGCTTCCGCCATATTGCTGTCCTGGATGGTCACAGTGGTCTCCTAACACATCTCTCTCCTTCCTCATGCCTCTCTGTTGCGACCCTTTGAAAGCGTAGTCACATCATCTCCTGACTCCTGCTTCGAACCCTCTGGTGGATCCCCACCACGTTGGCATAGAAGCCAGACTCTGACTTCGGCCTTCAGGCCTTCACAGTTTACAGGGTCGTCTCCCTGGTCATTGCCTGCCTCTCACTCCTGCATTCTCCACTGCAGTCATGCAGGCTCCTGCTGTCTTGAAAACTCACCAAGTGCATCCCACCCCAGGGCCGTTGCGCTAGCTGTTCCCTTTGCTTATAACACTCTTCTTTCAGTGAATTCCCTTCTCATCCTTTGGGTCTTTGCTCACATGGCACCTCCTTGGGGAGGCCTTCCTTGACCACCTTCTGTAAACCAGGCCCCTCACTGACTCCCATCACCCTTCTTTCTTTTTTCTTTAGTGACATATAATTCGCATTCCGTAAAATTCACCCTTTTAAAGAGTACAAGTCATTGGTTTTTAGTATATTCAGTGTTGTGCAGCCATCACCACTATCTAATTCCAAAATGTTTTCCTCACCCCCAAAAGAAATCATGTCCCCGTTAGCAGTCACTCCCCAATCCGCCTCCCCTAGCTCTTGGCAACTACTAACCTATTTTCTGTCTCTATTGATTTGCCAATTCTGGATGTTTCATGCACATGGAATCATATAATTTGTAACCTTTTGTGGCTGGCATCTTTAACGTAGCTTAATGTTATTAAGGTCCATCCACATGGTAGCATGAATCAGGGCTTCGTTCCTTTTTATGGCTGAGTCATGTAGCATGGCCTGGGCACACCACATTTTGTTTATCCATTCCTCAGTCAACAGACTTTGGGGTTGTTTTCACTTTTCAGCTATTATGAATAATGCTGCTGTGAACAATAGTCTAAAAATTTGTGCATGAAGACGTTTTCGTAGTGTTACTGCACTTAACCTTTTGAGCAACTGCCGGGCTGGTTTGCAAAGTGGCTGCAGCATTTCACATCCCCAGTAGCAACTATGAGGGTTCCAGTTTCTCTGCATTCTTGCCAACACTTATCTTCCTTTTTAAAAATTGTTATTCTTCTTACTCCCATTCTAGTGGGTGAAGTGGCACCTCGCCGTGGTGTGGTTTGCACATCCCAGCGACTAACGATGCTGAGCATCTTTCCGTTGACCGTGTGCACGTCCTTGGAGACCTGCCTGTGCACGTTCTTCCTGCGTTTTTAAACCGGGCGATTTGTCTTTTCCTCATTGAGCTGTATCTCCTTTATTTTCTTTGTCACAATTCTCACCTTCTGATGAGATTTTTGCCCTTTTGCTTTTTGTTTACTTGCCCTTTTTGGTCCGTAAGCCCCATGTTGTCAGCGACCTTGTCTGCCCTGTCCCCCGCTGGGTCTGCAGCACCCAGGACAGCGCCTGCTTCTCATGAATGGTTGGCGAACGGGAATGAATCCCAGTGAGCAGGAGAGGCGTGGCGATTCTTTCATTCATCCAGCAGACAGGTATCTGGGAGCTTTCTGCATCCCTGTGGCTACAGTCATTTTAAGACTAAGTCGGGGGTCCTGACCTGGGTTTAGGGACCCCCAAAGGCTCCCCTGTGAGCAGCAGCCCTGCAAGGTTGTGCGGCCCCTCTGTGCTCCTGACTGCAGCCCCCAGCAGCCCCCAGTCCCGCCCTGCGAGGGTCCGAGGGTCATGGGCGAGGGCGGGGAGGCTTGGCTTGGGTCAGGGAGGGTGGACTCACGCCGTAGGTTTGAGAGCATTAGCTATTCATTGCCAAGTAACTAACCACCATGCGCTTAGCGGCCTAGAACAACACCCATCTGTTGGCTCAGTTCGGCGGGTCAGAAGTCCAGCAGGGTGCGGCCGGTGCTCTGGGTAGAGTCTTAGGTGGCTGAAATGGAGGCGTCGCTGAGCTGCCCTCTCCTGGGAAGCTCCAGGGAGGAGTCTGGCGGAGTCCCGCCGCCTGCGGTGGCAGCACCGAGGTCCTCATCTCCTTGCCTGCTGCCAGCTGAGGTCCCCTCACAGCTCTCGCAGCTGCCCGAGGTCCTTGTCACGGGACCCTCTTCCTCTCCCTGTGCCTGTGCTTTGAGTGTCTTTTGCCAGGAAGGGCCTGCCCCCCCCCCACCGTTAGCTCAGCCCACTCAGGAGAGTGCTTTTCTCCTAAAGTCACCTGTGCCATCCATCGCCGACTCAACAGAGGGGACTCTGCAAGGGTGTGGCTGCTACGAGTCACCCTAGAGTCCCGCCTCCCCCAGCGAGCTGGGGATGCTGTTATTCCACCCTCAGAGCAGTGTCTGCATTCACTGGTGATTCTGACCTTGGCTGTCACACACGTAACTGTCTCGTCCCTGGGCAGAGCTAGCATGTACCCCTGGGACACCCCTAGAGGCTGTGGCCTGGCCTCTTGCCACCGAGGTACCTCAGACCCTGAGCTGGCGAGGGGTAGTCGGGGGCAGCGATGAAGCAGGCGCTCCCACTGCCTTCTGCCACCCGACTGTGCCGTCCAGTCCCGTCCTCTGTCTGTGGGCAGGGCGGGGAGTGCGAGATGACCAAAGCCCTGGCCCGGGCTGGCTCACGCGACTCCTCTGTGTCATTATGTTGTGGGGTGCTGGAAGGCTGTCCCCCCACCTCCACTGCACCCCATACTCTCTGCCAGACATCAGCGGGTCCCCAGCTTCTGCTCCCACTCCAAGTCCATTCTCTGTCCTGTAGCAGGAAGCATCCTGGAGAAACCAAAGCCAAACTATGTCCCTGCCCTGCTCAGCCCCCCCCCATGGCTCCCACCTCACTAAAGGAAAACCCTGCATGAGCCCCTGTTACCGCCCCAGCATCAACTTCCATGACTTCTCCCTGCTCCCTCCGATCCTGCCACACTCACCTCCTCCTGTGATCACGCTGGGTGTGATCCAACCTCAGGGCCTTTGCGCTTGCTGCTCCCTCTGCCTGGATAGCTCTGCTCCCAGATGCCCCTGTGTCTCCCTCCCTCCCCACCCTCGGGTCTGTCCTCCCATGTCCTCAGTGAAGCCTGCCCTGACCGCTCCATTTAAAATGGCACCCCATGACATATACCCGTCTCCCCCTTCCTTGACTGACCGAAGAGTGATGAGCGCTGTGGCTTCTGCAGGCGACCCGGAGAGCCTCCCCTGGACCTGGGCAGCATCCCCTGGCTGGGCCATGCCTTGGACTTTGGAAGAGATGCTGCCGGCTTCCTCACTAGGATGAAGGAGAAGCACGGGGACATCTTTACTGTAAGTGCTTCTTGTGCCTCCTGGGAGGGACAGGGATGAGAAACGGGGCCTCATACTGGCTGGTGTGTCTTCCAGTTCCTTCCACATCTGCCCATATGCTGATCCCCTCATCCAACATCCAGCCAGTGGTCCAGCCAAATTCCTATCCATCCACCTGCCCAGCTGCATATCCAGTGCTTACCTGGTGTCCATCCGTTCAGCACCCCCCGGCCTCCTCCCACCATCCCGCTACGCAGTCACTCAACACCTGTCCAGTACTGTACCTCCGTGCGGCGACCTCCACCCATTCATTCAACCTCCATCTGTCCAGCGTTCATCTGCGCACCTAGCATCTATTCTTCTGCCTGTCCACCCAGGGTCTACCCGGCACCCTTCTGCCCTAGTACCCACCCAACGTTCCTTCATATATTCTGTTTCCATCAGACTCCATCTATCTGTTCATCCATCCGTCTTTCCACATACTCTTCCAACATCTGTCTGTTCATCTTCTTATCCGTCATCTATCCCTGTCTGTCTACCCATATTTACCCAGCATTCTTCCACGGATGTAACCAACACCCATCCACTTTCATGCGTGTGCAGTCAGCCCTCTGTGTCAATGAGTTCTGCATCTGTGGATTTTACCCAACCGCGGATCAAAAATACTTGAAAAAAAATTGCATCTATACAAATATGGACTTACGAGCATATATGAACAAAGATGGACTTTTTTCTTGTCATTATACCCTAAATAATAGAGGATAACAACTACTTACATAGCATTTATATTGTATTAGGTATTATTATAAGTCATCTAGAGATGATTTGAATTATATGGGAGGTGTGCCTAGGTTATATGCAAATACTACACCAGGGACTTGAGCCTCCATGGATTTTGGTACGTGTAGGAGATCCTGGAACCAATCCCCATGGATACTGAGGAATGACTATTCACTTTCTACCAACTTCCATTTTCCATATGTCTACCCATCTTTCTATCCACCTGCCACTCTCTATCCAACACTTAGCTATATTCGATATCCAGTGTCTGTCCACCCAGTGTACATCTATTTATATCTCCACGCATCCATCTCTCCAACATCCGTTCAAACAACCATGACCCGTCCATCTTCATGTATTCTTCCAACTTCCACCCAACCATCATTCTTCTTCAGTCTGTTTATCCAGTATCTACTTACCATCCTGTTATCCATGTACCCAACATTCGTACATGTTTAGTTTCCAACCAACCTCTAGCTGCCTTTCCATCCTTTTTGTCCAACATAGATGCGCTGATCTATCCTTCCATTTATCCACCCATTTAATGTTCCATCCACTAGCATTTACCCAATAGTTTCCTTCCTTCCTTCCTTCCTTCCTTCCTTCCTTCCTTCCTTCCTTCCTTCCTTCCTTCCTTCCTTCCTTCCTTCCTTCCTTCTTCCATCCATCCATCCTTCCATCTATCTGCAGTCCATCCCCTGGCATCTACCCAGCACCATCCTTCCTTTCATTCATCTGTCCGTCCTTCCTTCCATCCATCCGTCCACCCACCCGTGAGGCACACAATGTCCCTCTGCTGTCTTCTGTCGGCCTTCCCTCCTGCCTGCTGGACATACGGCAGTAACCAAGATAACAACGGCCTGTGCCATTGGTGGTAAAGAACACAGCCTTTGTTTGATTTTAAAAAGCCCCGAATTCCAGTCCCAGCCCTGCCACTTCTCAGCCGTGAGATCGTGGGCACATTGGTCCCTTTTCTTAGCCTCACTTTGCAGCTAGAAACGGCGAGTCCCTGCCTCACAGAGTGGGCGTGAGGGATTGGTAAGAGAACATTGTCTCTTAAGTGCCCGGCGGGGACGGGCCGTGACCACCGGGAGCGGCTGCTGTTCCCAGTGACACTCCCCACTCCACCCTGCCCACTCGCCGCAGGTGCTGGTGGGCGGCAGGTATGTCACCGTCCTCCTGGACCCGCACTCCTACGACGCCGTGGTGTGGGAGGCTCGCGCCAAGCTGGACTTCCACGCCTACGCCGTCTTCCTCATGGAGAGGATTTTCGACGTGCAGCTGCCGCATTTCAGCCCGAGCGATGAAAAGGCCCGGATGAGACCGTGAGTGGCTGCGCAGGGCGCCGTGGCGGGCTGGCGGGCGACCTGCTTCTGCCTGTGCGCCGAGTCTTGGGTGGGCCGTGTGGCTGCGCACCGTGTCCCGTACACACTGGGTCCCGGGAACGCAAACAAAAGCGAAACAGAAACAGCCCAGACAACGGGACTAAAGACTCTTCCCTCTCCTGTCGGCGCCCTTTAGGAGGCAGCCCCGACTTTAGCCGGAGGAGGCCAGGCCTCGGGTCTGCCGGACCCAGATTCAAGCCCCAGCTCCGTCTCTCCCTAGCTTTGGCACTTTGGACAAATCCCTTCCCCGCCCTGAGCCTCTGTCCCCTCCTCCGTGGAGGGAAGGAGAGTAGGCGGGGGGTGAATATGTTTGATCCGCACCCTGTGCTGGGCGTCACCTACCATCTCCTTAGTCTTCACAGCCGCTGGAGGCTGCGTCACTTCCAGGCTCATTTTATAGAGCGGCACCATAGGGCTGGGAGGGGTGACTTGCCTTAGGCCTCATAGCTAGGAGGTGGCGCGGCTCCTGCAACACGAGGAATAGTTTATCCACGAAAGGGCGCGTGAGCACGTTTACTCTGCGTCCATTCAGCAGACATCTGAGGACCTGCTATGCCCTGCTCACCGTCCCAGACTGGGGTGGCGGTGCAGGAGGTGCCCCGTGTTTGACAGGCACACGTTCATATCTGTCCCTTAGCCTCAGGAGGCGGGTATTTTTATCCCTATTTTATGGGTGAGGAAACTGAGGCCCAGAGAAGTGAAGTGACTTGCCCAAGGTCTACTGCTAGTAAGTGGTGGGGCTGGGATTTGAACCCAGGTCTGCTGCCTTCACTACCATCCTCCTCCATCTGAGATGCTGACACAGACGAAACCCTGTGTCCACGTCTAGAGTTCGCGCAGTCTGTGGCAGCCTTCAGCGATCTGTCTCAGGGAGAACGACCTCCCAGAGTGTGGGAAAGTGTCTGGCATCCTCTGTTTTGCAGGATAGCGAAGCAGAGGCAAGGCCAGCATTTATGAGAGGTGACGCCCCGTCTGACCTTGTCTGACCTTGTCCTGTGGGACAGCTGCTAGGAGCGTTTCCGAGCCTGAGTGTCCTGGGTCCTGCCGTTCCAGGGCACCCTGGGGTGGGTCAGCAACAGGAATCCACGGCTCACTGTATCCCACTCCCCCACCCAGGGAGGATCCCAGTTTCCTCCAGTGTCTGCCTTAAGAATTTCTGGAAATTTCTCACAAGCCAGCATGACATCTTCTGGACATAGCTGCCACTTCTGTTGAGGGCCACTGTCTCTGTTGAGGACTAGTGACTGGGGTGACGTGGGGAGAACAGCTGGGCAAGGGTGAATGGCAATGCCGGCTCCCACTTTTTGGGGAGCGTTCACGTTTTCAATGTGCCAGGCACGGTGCCAAGCCCCTGGCACCATCTCACACGAATCACATCTGTTGTTTTTCCAGCCACGTTCCTATTTGAACGTCCCAGAGTCGTTATTGCCAGGGAGTTCATGGACCCCCTCTGCAGGCTTTCCCCTCGTGAATTATGCAAGCACCCAGGGGCTTACTCAGTGTGAAGCTGCCCATCCCACTTCCCAACAGCGGGTGGTGACAGAACCTGCCGTCAGGCACAGGTAGAGCACCTGATCAGCACGGCCCCGCCGTTCTCGCTGCTGCCACAAGGTGTCGCTGTCAAGCACTGACTGTGCACAGCCCGGTGGACATGTGGTTCGCTTGCTGCCGTGGTGTCCTTTCTGGTCTAGATCCCTTCAAGAGGTGCAGAGGGGGCGTAGGCTTAGACACTGATCCCCCTTTCTTGGCTTCTAACCAAATCCTTAGTCGTGGCCCAGTGTGGACTGTGTAGCATGGGGGCTCAGTATGGGTGGCTCTGGCTTCTGCCACACACTCCCCCAGACTGGTCATCTCCTCCAGCTCTTAGGTCCGAGTGATGAGACCAGGTCACCAGCACAGATTCCCTGGACCTCATGTCAGGCTCACCAGGGGTCATGTCTCAGCAGTCCTTAGTCAGGGGACACCATAACTCTCCAAACAGGTCTTCCTGTCTTTTGATTTCAGGGAGAAAGGAGTTGCTTTTTAGTTCCTTCTCTTCCAGAAGGCTGTGGGTCCCTCATCCAAGCTTGTGTGCCCCAGGTAGAGACAGACGATCCTAGTTCAGAGTTGAGACCCTGGAGTTGGGCAGGCCTGGGTTTCAGTCTCAGCTATACTACTTACTGCCTGTGTCACCTTGGGTGAGTCACTTTGCTCTCTGTTCCTGAGTTTCTCATCTGTAAAATGGGTGTCACAATAGTAACTGTTATTCCTAGGGGGGTCGTCAAATGACATGAGATCATCGTGCTTAGCACAATAAGTGGCAACTGCCATTGTTGTTGACGATGGTAGTTATACTGTCATCTTGTTTAAGCCGGTCTCCCACGGGGCCCCACTGCCAGGGGCGAGCTTGAGCTCTGGGATCCTGAGATTTGGGGAGGAGGAGCCTGTGGGTGGATATTTGCCTTTGGAAGCCAACTCTCACACTTTGTCCCCTGCCTCAGGACCCTCCTGCACAGAGAGCTGCAGACGCTCACGGAAGCCATGTACGCCAACCTCCGCACCGTCCTGCTGGGCGATGCCGCAGAAGCGGGCGGCGGCTGGCGTGAGATGGGGCTCCTCGACTTCTCCTACAGCCTCCTGCTCAGGTGAGCCTGGGCGGGGCCTGACATCCGTCCCTGTGTCACCACGAGCAGTGGCCACGGGGGCCGGGAAGACTTTGTGGGTGGGGGAAGCAGTTTGGGACGCCCAAAGCCAAGACTTCAGGGAAGTCGTCGTACACCTGGGAGCCCAGGTGTTCACCCGACCCAGCCCAGAAGCTGTTAAAGAGACACTGGCTGAGAATGGGGCCTTGTGGGTCACCCAGAGAAGTAGCAGAGCATGACTTCAGAGGCCTCTTGTCCTGTGGCTTCTGGACTTTGGGATTTCATGGACCAGAAAAACAAAATGTTTAAGAGACCAACCCAGGGCCTTAACCTTTTATCAGGCCATGTAAACTCATGTTAAAAACTGCACAGCCGACTGTTCCTTCCTTCGGCGTGCCGGGCACTATTCCGGGCCCTGGGAATACAGCAGGAACAGGACAGGTGAAGTCCCCAGACTCACACAGCTGACACTCAGTGGGCGAGACAGACTGTGGTTATGTCAGAGAGGGATAAACACGACAACAGAGGTCCACAGATGGGGTGATAGCATCGGGGGGGTCTTTCGGCCAGACCGATGGGGCAGGGGCTCTCTGAGGATCTGGCTTCAGAGCCAAGAAGTAGCTACGAGGTACCCACCGTGCCATGATTCTGGGCGGAGGACACGGCAAGCGCCAGGGCTTGGCAAGAGGGCCGGGGTGGCTGGAGCACCGTGAGCTGCAGGGGGAAGTGGAGGTGAGGTCAGAGGAGTTGGCAGAGCCAGGTCTCAACAGAGCCTCACAGACATGGAAGGTTCTGGAATGTATTCTGAATAAGATGGGTGACATCGGGGGTTTGAGCCGGGCACAGCATGGTCCAATTTAGGAGTTTTGAAGCCCCTTTGGCTGCTGGATGGAGGAGGAGGTCCTGTAGGGGGGCGTGGGCCTGAGAAGGGGGCAGGAGGACCCCTCGGGAGGCTGCCGTAGTCACCCAGGGGGTTGAAAGGCGGTGGCTGGGGGGCGGTGAGAGTGCAGGTAGCTGTTGGAGATGGCGTCCAAGGCCCTGCTGAAAGATTTGGCTGGGGCAGGGCTTGGGGAGCGTGGTGTGGGAAGGGGGAAGAAGATATTGAGGATAGCTCCTTGATTTTTAATGGTATCGTTAACCCACCAGCATTTGTAAAAGAAAGGGCATTTCAACCCTCCAAAACATTACAGCAACATAGTTTCAGGATAAAGGGCAGCAACTAGTTGACATGCGTGGGCATGTGGGTCTGTTTACGTACGACTCAGTGTGTGCCTACTTGTCTCATGCTCGCAGCGGCTCTGGGAGGCTAGTACTTCACATGCCCCATTTCACAGATGGGAAAACTGAGGCCAAGGGAGCCTAAGCCATTTGTCCAGAAGCCCACACTGGGGCCCCAGCAGGGCTGGCTCCGGAGCCCGCACCCTCAGCCACCACCCTCGCGTGTCAATGATCCCATTCTTCTGGGTTCATCCTGGAGTGGGGCAGACCCCTCCAGGGCTGTGCTTGGTCTGGCTGGAGCGGGTCTGGCCACCTGTCATAGTGTGATGGGGACGGAGGGCCAGAGGCAGCTGAAACCACCCAGCAAGTTCACGGCAGGGCAGCCCCGAGGCCTCCTGGCTCCTGCTGTCCTGTGTCCCCATGTGGGCGAAGATGTCAGTGGTGTTGGGGGAGGCAGGGGACAGGGTGGCAGCTGGGACCGTTGAGGCCTCGTGGTGCCGCAGGCACAATGCCGGGGGACGGATGTGGATCCGGTCCTGCAGATCCTGCCCTGTGTCCCCAGGGCCTGAGGCCTGGGCTGCGGCTCCGGCCTCCTGGCCGTCGGTGGCCCTGAAAGAGGAAGGGAGGGCGAGTTTGTGGAGGTGCAGGTCCGCACGGCGCAAACTGTGAAGTGCCGCCTCTCATACCCCCCAACCTGTCTGTCCTGCGTTGGCCTCACTCACAGTCACATCCCAAGCCCTGCCGTGTCCTCGTCCTGTGACCCTGGCCTCTTCTCATCACACCGTCCTCCTCGCTGCCCCTTGAACGGGCCAGGCGCCCCCGCCCCCCGTGGGGCCTTTGCAGTTTCTGTTCCCTTGCCTGGGAATGCTGTTCCCCCACACACACACATCTGTGCGGCTCCCACCTCACTTCACGGCTCATCTCGCGTGCCACCCGCGCAGAGAGCCCTTCCTTGACACCCCCTTAGCGCGACAGCCCTCGCCCGTGTCCAGCTTGGTCCCGCTTGAGTTTCTCTGTGCCACCCAGCACCCCCTGTGGGCCGTGTGTGATTTACACGTGTGATTGTCGCCCTTGGCCTCGTCGCTTTGATCGGAGCTGCCGTGGAAAGGGCCTTCACTTCCACGGGAAGCCTCGTGGTCCTCTGGGTTTATTTTAGAGTTTTTTTAAAATTGCAATTTCAGGTAGAAATACACGTACAGGGAAATCGTTCTCCGTTTCAGGAAAAGCAGTGGTGCGAGTGGGGTGGTAAATGGCGACAGGTGTTTGACTGCGGGGTCCGGGGACCACGGCCGGCAAGGCAAGCGCGTGTCTCTGAGAGGGGCTGAGAGGGGCGGCCACGCTGTTCCCGCCCCGGGCTGTCGGGGGCGGGGACTGCGGCCGGGAGCGGGCTCCTGTTCAGGGGGAGTGAGTGGGGGTGCAGGTTCCACAGGTCTGAAGGTAGGTTCAGTGTGTTTTGGGGAAAGCTGTATTGACTGAAAGGAGAGCATGCCGTGGACCGCGTCCCCTTCAGGGGCTGCACTTTCCAGCTGCTGCCTTAGGGACAGCGAGGGCGCCGGTCTGCAGAGGAGGGGACAGACCCCCGGGCCGGGGCAGAGGCTCGAGCAGGGCTGACGGCTCAGACGCTGGAAGGAGCGGTTCAGCTCCTCTGAAGGGGGTGGCTTCCCCTGAGTCCGTGGGACGGGCAGGTCATGAGCGCCCCATCCCTGGGGTGTGGAAGCCTCGGCTGGACGAGGGGGAGGTGAGCGGGATGTGGGGGAAGGTGGGACAGTGGCCTGAATGACTCAGAGGTCAAGGACTCAGAGGGACCCCGTAATTTTCTTGCAAGATCAGTGTTCTCAGGATTAATTTCTACCTATCCATCCATCCTTCCATCCACCTATCCATCCACCTATCCATCCATCCTTCCATCCACCTATCCATCCATCCTTCCATCCACCTATCCATCCATCCTTCCATCCACCTATCCATCCATCCTATCCATCCATCTTCATCCCCTACCATCCGTCTTGCCATCCACCTATCCATCCATTCTATCCCCACCATCCCTTCCATCCACCTATCCATCCATCTTCCACTCACCTATACGATCCACCTATCCATCCATCTTCCCAATCCACCTATCCATCCATCCTTCCATCACCTATCCATGTCTTCCATCTACCTATCATCCATCTTCATCACCTATCCATCCGTCTTCCATATCCACGTATCCATCATCTGTACTTCATCCCATCCATTCATTCTCCATCCACCTATCATCCATCCTTCCATCCACCTTCCATCCGTCCTTCCATTCATACCCTATCCATCCATCCTTCATCATTATCCATTCCACCGTTATCATCCACCTATCCATCCATCCTTCCATCCACCTATCCATCCATCCTTTCCATCCACCTATCCATCCCCATCCTTCCTCTACCTATCATCCGTTCCATCCACCTATCCATCACCTTCATCCACTATCCCATCCACTATCCATCCACCCTATCATCAGTCCTTCCATCCACCTATCCATCCATCCTTCCCATCCACCTATCCATCCATACTTCCATCCACCCTATATCCATCCTTCATACCTAATCCATCATCTTCCACCACCTATCCATCCATCCCTTCCATCCACCTATCCATCCACCAATCATCCACGCTATCCATCCCGTCTTTCCATCCCACCATCCATCCATCCTTCATCCACTATCCATCCATCTTCCTCCACCTATCATCCATCCTTCCATCTACCTATCCATCCATCCCTTCATCCACTATCCATCCATCCTTCCATCCATCCTATCCATCCACCTATCCATCATCCTTCCATCCACTATCCCATTTCCCATCTTCCATGCCACTTATCATCCGTCTTCATCCACCTTCAATACGTTTGCCTCCACCTATCCATCCACCTATCCATCACCCTATCCATCCATCCTTCCATCTACCTATCCATCCATTCCTCATCCACCTATCCATCCACTATTCCATCCATCCTTCCATCCACCTTATCCATCCCATCCCTTCCATCCACCTATCCATCCATCTTCCATCCACTATTCATACCGTCCTTCCACTCTAACTATCATCCATCCTTCCATCCACCATCATCCATTTCCATCCACCTTATCCATCACCTATCCATTCCATCCTTCATCCACCTATCCATCCATACCTATCATCACCTATCATCCACCTATCCATCACTATCCATCCATCCTTCATCCACATCCATCCATCCTTCCATTACTATCCATCATCCTTCATCCACTATTCCATCCTTCATCCCACCTATCATCCACCTATCATCCACCTATCATCCATCTTCCCATCCACCTATCCCTCCCGTCTTATCTACATCATCCTCCTTCATCCCACCTATCCATCCATCTTCCATCTTAACCTATCCATCCATTTCCATCCACCTTACCACCTATCCATCCACCTATCATCTTCCTTCCATCCACCTATCCAATCGTTTCATCTACCTTATCCATCATTATCCACCTATCATCCGTCCTTCGCTCTACCTATCCATCCATCCTTCCATCACCATCCATCCATCTCCATCACCTATCCATCATCCTTCCAATCTACCTATTCCATCATCCTCCATCCACCTATCCATCCTCCTTCCATCATATCCATCATCTTCCTCACCTATATCATCCTTCCCATCCACCTATCCATCCGTCCTTCCATCTACCTATCCATCCATCCTTCCATCCACCTATCCATCCTCTCATCTACCTTATTCTCCATCTTCCCATCCACTATCCATCATTTCCATCCACCTATCCATCCATCCTTCCATCTACCTATCCAATCCACTTCTCCACCCTATCCATCATCTTCATCCATACTCAATCCATCCTTCCATTCACCTATCCATCCATCCTTCATCCACCTATCATCACCTATCCATCCACTATCATCACCTAATCCATCCATCCTTCATCACCTATCCATCCGTCCTTCATCTACCTATCCATCCATTCCTTACACCTATCATCCATGCCTTCCATACTATCCATCATCCTTCCAATTAACCTACCATCATCCTTCCAGTCCACCTATCCAATCATTCTTCCACTCCACCTACTCATCATGCTTATCCATATCCTCCATCTTCCATCCTACCTATCCATCCATCCCTTCAATCCACCTATCCATTCCACTATCATCCACCTTCATCCTCCCATCCACTAATCCACTCCTTCCTTCCATCCACCTATCCTACCATCCACCTCGTCCATCCACCTCATATCCTATCCATCCATCTCCATCCACTCATCCATCATCCTTCCATCTACCTATCCATCCATCCTTCCATCCACCTATCCATCCTTCTCCCTTCCACCCATCCCTTCATCCCCCATCCCTCCATCCATCCACCTATCCACATGTCCATCCATCCATTTCTTCGCCTGCCAATCCTTCTATCCACCTACCCATCCGTCCTTCTGCCCACCCATCCCTCCATCCCTCCATCTCTCCACCCAGTGTTTGCGGGGGGCCACAACATGCTCGATACAACTTGCTGATCACTCTACCCAAGCGCTCCCTGGAGTCTTCCCACAGCTGCCCCTTGTCATCCTTCAGGAGCCAGCTTGAGCGAGCCCCTCCTCACCACGCGTGCGACGTTGTGCCCCCCCCAGCCTGCTGCCTCCAGCTCTGTGCCTGACGGTGCTGCTGGGCACCAGCTGCACGTTACTCGTTCTGCTCGTTGTTCTTGTCTGTGGTCTGTCCCCCGTGCTGAGGACAGGGAGTTTCGTCTGTTTTACTCGCCGCTGACTCCCAGTACCCGGAACGGTCCTTGGTAGGATTGGGTGCTCATTAGGTGCATGAATGAAGAGAAGCTGCCATGGGTGGGTTTGGCTGTGAGTGTCCAAGGAAGACCCCTGACATGCTGTTTGTCACCCCCAGAGCCGGCTACCTGACTCTTTATGGAATTGAGGCGTTGCCACGCACCCCTGAGAGCCAGGCCCAGGACCTTGTCCACTCAGCCGACGTCTTCCACACCTTCCGCCAGCTCGACCTGCTGCTCCCCAAACTGGCTCGTGGCTCCCTGTCAGTGGGTGAGCGCCATGGGGGTCCCAGTGGGTGGTGGGGAGGATGGAAAGACTCAGAGGGGGAGTCCAAGCTCAAGGTAAAGATCAGAGGCAAGACAGGAGGAAGGGCATCCTAATGCCCTGGGAGGCAGTAAGATCCCCGTCACTGGGGGTATGCAAGAGCACAGTGATAGGGAGGCAGGGCTTGGACCAGAGCTTGAGTTCCTGGTAAAAATTCTGATTCAGCACATCTGGAGTGAGACCTGAGAATCTTTGTGCATGTATGTTCCTTTTCTTGTTTTAAGATTCTAGTTGCTTTAAAAAATTTTACAAGTAGTTCATAATTGTTGTAAAAATTCAAGTCATATAGAATAGAGGAAATGATGAAAGAGTTCTCCACTTTCTCCCCATCCTCAACCCCCCACTTCCCTTCACAGAGGTGGCCACTGTCGTTAGCCTGGAGTATATCCTGGCAGAGCTTTCTCTAAATATACACGCAAAGAATTGTGTGGTTTTTTTTATTGTTTTCTATTTTTAAGCATTTTTCTTTCTTTTTAAACTGAGGTATAATTTGTATACAGGAAAGCACACACTTCCTAAATGTGCAGCTGAGAGGTAGAGCTAAACATTTCATGCTCTTTCCACTCAATATTCACCTCAGAGATAGCCACTGTACTGATTTCTTTCACCTCTGACTAGTTTTGCCTATCCTTGTACTTCCTGTAAATGGAATCATACAGTATGTGCCCTTTTGTGTCTGGCTTCTTTTACTCAAACTTAACATCTGGGATATTTATCCAGGTTGTTATATATATATCAATAGTTTGTTCTTTTTCCCTGCTGTATAGTATTTCACCAGAATAATATGCTACCATTTATCTATCCAGTTTGCAGTTGGTAGACATTTGAGTAGTCCCCAGTTTGGGGCTGTTATGAATTAGGTGGTTGTGAATATTCTCGCGTGTGCCTTTCAGCGTACACATGCCCTCATTTGTGTTAGCTTTTACGTTCACGACATAGACATATCACGCTGGAAGAACTGTTCTGCCGCTTAGAGCTTCCGCTGACCTCCACATCTAGAGCATTTCCATGTCAGTTTGTACAAACCCACCTCGTTCGTTTCTGCGGCTGCAGGGGGGACCCGGTGCTAGTAAAGAGCCCCCAGCTGATCCAGTGTGCAGGGGCCATGAGCGCCACTGGGCCGCACCATCCCCTGGGCCGTGTGTCTCAAACTTCCCTAATGGGCAGAATCCTCCGGGGCTTTTGTTGATAATGCAGGCCCCCAAGCCCCATCGGGTCCATTCGGATCCAAATCTCCAAGGAAAGGCCTGGAAACAAAACAAAACAAAACAAACCCAGACATCTTTTCTAGCCTTGCATGGCTGTCCGGCTGTTCTAGTATATAGTCAACCATCTCCCTCTGGTGGATATCTATTTACTTTCTTTCTGTTTTTCTTTCTTTTCTATCTGCCTGTCTTTCTTACTTTTTTATAAAAAACATTTCATTGTACTTGTATCTGTTCTACCATCTGGTAGATTTTATTTCTCTCTGACAGCATCCTGGAAGTGGGTTTGCTGGGTCAAAGGCTATACACATTAAAATTTTTATCAGCTTCTTCTACATCACTTCTAAAACCACAGAGCAATTGCTGAGCCTGCCCAAGGGGAAGAGTCTGCCCCGCCAGATGTTATCAGTCTTTGCACTTGTTTGCCAATCAGATGGGCAGAGGCGTAACTTACGGTTTCAATTTGCGTTTTCCCACAGCCTTGCCAACGAGCAGTCATCAGCCTTCAAATCCTTGTCAATCTGATGGGCAAGACAGGGCATCTGCTCTACGCAGCCTTTCCCTGGCTTCTGTGCTGAAACATCTTTTTGTGTTTCACTAGCCATTAGCATTTCCTCCTTGGGAGCTGCCCATTCCTGTCCCTTTTTAGAAGCAACTCATCATCTTATCAGATCCTCCCGTCAGTGCTGGGTGGTCGGTAGTGCCATACCCACTTGCACATAGGAAACCGGAGCTCAGAGAGGTGAGATCACTCACTTGTAGACACACAGCTGGAAGGTGGCAGAGCCAGCAAAATGAAAGCTGGGTCTGATTGCAGAATCCTGTACGTAAAGCACCTACCACATCCTAGCACTCATGGTTTCCCCAGGAAAAAAGCAGGTTTCTCTACTGCCTCTTCCTCTATACAGATGCTCCAGGAGAGTGTGGGTGAATGCAAAGGGACGCCCCCTCATTCTGGGAGCAGCCCGGGGCTGGGTGCAGGAAGGCTGCATTTCCCCGTGTGGGCAGCAGGTGGCGATGTTGGAGGACAGTTTCTCATCTTCATGGGGCCAGAGGCGCGTGGGCAAGGCCGCGCTCAGACCTTGTGGGCGGGTAGGTGTGTGAAGCTGCGCAGCCTCTTTTGCAGAGCCTCACAAAATATAAAATGCAACTTTTGATCCTGTACTTCCACTTGTGGGAACTTACCCTGCAGAAATGATTGCACATGTACATAATGATATTCATAGTCATGCCGCTTGTCATAGCAAATGCTAGAAACAATTTCAGCGTCTACCAGTAGAGGTGGATTAAATAAATTATGCGCTCGTAGAGAGGCAAACTATGCAACCGTAAAACAGAATGGCACATACTATATAAGATGGAATCCACTATTACAAAAAAGAAGGTGCAAAGCAATATAGTATGCCACGATTAGTATATTTATTGAAACGTGGGAGTATGGGTAGATTTTTGCCTTTGGCGAGGCTGAGATGGGGTGGAGAGAACATTACTTGTGTAGTATGCCCGTTTGAACTCTTAGCGATTCCTTCTCTTTTTATTATTGTTTTTAACCATGTCCATGAATTATTCCCTCTTTCACTTTTAAAAGTATAAGCATATTTTAAAAGAGAATTGATCCTTCAGGGATCCATAGACCATTGAGTCTGGTGCTTCTCATACGGAAGGCAGTCGTGGGCAGGGGACAGTTAAATAGAGCCCCAAGCCAAGCATAGTGCTTCTTTCTGGAGCATTCATTTTAATGGATCATTTTGGGGGGCTGTTTTATTTGGATATTGTTTTGGGAGACAAGGCATTCTTATATCGAAGAATCACAGAGTCTGATGTAAAACTGTAAGGTGTTTTAAAGGTCTCGAGGGCTTGTAGGAGTTTTCAGGGAAAAACTTGAGAGGTACTCAAGCCAGGGACCTCATTTTATGGAAGGGGAGAGGGAGGCCCAGAGATGGGCAGGTCTCAGCCAAGGCCACACAGCATGAGGAGCCTGGGATTTAAACCTGCTTCTGCCATCTCCAGACCGCCAGTCACATGGACCATGGGCCTGTCAACTCTGATTCATGGCCTCATGTCATTACACTGAGGCTGAGAAATCATACCTTGTAATAGTGGCAAGAATGTAGCAAGTACTATTTACCAAACTCCTGCCAAAAACCAAGCGTGTTCTGTGTTTGATCTTTTTCAATCCTCTTGCTGATCCTATGAGCTAGGTTGCTCCCATTTTACAGATGGGGGAAATTGAGGCTCAGATATTCAAAGTGATTTGCCCAAGCTTATTCTGCTAGGGAGGGCAAAGCTGGGATTTCAACGTGGGTCTGTCTGGCTTCAAACTTGATGCTCTTTATTTCACAGTTTATTATTATTTCTTCATTATAGAAGCAGTATGTGTACACATTCTCCTTGGACCAACAATTTGCTAATATTCATCAAGTTTTGTTATTTAATAATATAGCTAACGTTTATGAGGCCTGTGCCAGGCTTTCCCCCACTGTGCTTTAGAAGCTAATGCATTCAATCCATACATAACCCTATGTAGCGGCTTCTCTTATTATCCCATTGTACAGGTGAGAAAACTGAGGTGCTGAGAGGTGAGGTGACTTGTTCAAGGTCAGGCCCTCTGCTTGAGGGTGTGGCTCTTTAACTGGGCTCCCTTGACCTTTAAGAAAAAAAATCAAATATTATGGAAAATGGAAATTCTTTTTTGACCACATTCCCTCTAAATTTATCCCTGAGGTAACCTTGCTATCAGTTCGGTTTCATCCTTCCAAACCAGTGCTGTCGTGTAGAAACAGAATGCAAACCACATATGCGGTTTTCCATTTTCTATTAGACACACTAACAAAAAGAAAAACAGAGAGGTGAAATCAGATTTAATAATGTATTTTATTTAACCCAATATGTCTAAATATTAGCATTTTAGCATGTAACCAAATGGAAAAATTATTAGCGAGATATTGTTTGTTTGTCATGTTTAAGACTTTGGAATCCAGTATATACTTTGCACTCACGTGGGCATTTGGGCCCAGCCCCCGCATTCGAAATGCTCAGTAGCCCCGTGGCTGTGGCTGCCCCGCTGGACAGAGCAGCCCCAGGCCTTTCCACACGAATCAAAACACATCGTCAGCTCACGTTCTACTGTGGGCCCAGATACACAGCCAGCCCCCATTTTCCCAGTGTGAAAGTTTTTAAAGTTTTGTCTTGTTTTGGTTTTTTGGTCGACCTCAATGTTGAAATAATTAGGGCTGGAAATGAAATATTAATAATTGCATTTCTTCTTATCGATTTTGGTGAACATCGATAGTGAACACCCCACGTTGTATAAACTGCCCATTGAGAGCTTTGGCTGCCTTCCTGTGACCACATTTCAGGAGTTGGTTTTACTCAGACCCCACCTCTGGGAGCGGGTCCAGAGGGGGAAGGCTGCTCAGTGTCGAGTGCTCCTTCCCCTGCTACTTAAAGAAACGCCATTCAGCTAATGCATATTTATTGAGCACCTGCTATGGGCCAGGTGCGGGAACTAGCGGTGAGTCAGACAGACGAGGCTCCCGCCTGCAGGAGACAAGGCCCCTTGCTGCTTTCTACTGGGGGTGAGACACATGACAGGTAAGTGTTTCCTGCTGGGGGCCTGTCCCTGTAGCGTGTTCCTCCCCTGCAGGACCTCCCCACCCCCATGAGTGACACTCAAAGACCCCTGGCCTCATGGGAGGTCAGGGCTGGGTGGCCCTTGGGGGGAGGGTGAATCTGTAACCTGACCCCTGCCCTCTGTGTGCTCTGTCCCTACAGGGGATAAGGACCGCGTGGGCAGCATCAAAGGTCGCCTGTGGAAGCTGCTGTCCCCAGCCAGGCTGGCCACCCGGGCCCACCGGAGCAAATGGCTGGAGAGTTACCTGCAGCACCTGGAGGAAATGGGCGTGTCAGAGGAGATGCAAGCGCGGGCCCTGGTGCTGCAGCTCTGGGCCACACAGGTGGGTGCGGGCAGAGGGTGTGGGCAGTGGGCAGTGGGTGCGAGTGGGTGTGTGCAGGTGTGGTTGTGCATATGAACGTGTGTGTGTGTGTGTGTGTCATCAGGCACATGCAGACACGTGTGGGGTGTGCATGTGCATGTAGGCATGCATTTTGAGTGTGTGCACATGCATCCAGCTCTCTTCTTCACCCCTGATCTCCTTTACTGTCAAATAGCATCATGAACAGGATCATTCATTCAGCATTCTTTTTTTAATTTGGAAAAGTGACAAAAGTTTCATAAATAATTTAATGAATTCCTATGTACACTTCACCTTGATTCTCCAATTTTTAACAATTTACCACATTTGCTTTCTCTCTCTCTCTTCCCTACTGGCATCATTTTATTGAAATCATTTGCAAATAAGTTGCAGACACCATGACTCTTTACCCCTAATTACTTGAGTGTGCATCTGCTCGGAGCAAGAACACCTCTTGTATGACCATAGTGCAGTAATTAAACTCAGGACGATTAGCCCAGAGTGTATACTGATACACGATCAGTATCTAATAAACAGCCGTGTTCCAGTTTTGCCGCTTGTCCCAATAACACCCTTTATGGCCTGTTTTGGTCCAGCATCTAAGCCAGGGTCACACGTTGCATTTACTGTTTCCGCCTCTTTAGTTTTCTTTAATCTGGCACAGTTTCTGTGCCTTTCCTTGTTTTTCATGACCTTAACATTTTTTGAAGTGTGTGAATGAATTATTTTGAAGAATCATTTAAAAGTTCCTTTGAGGAGCTGAGTGTGGCATCATGCACCTGCAGTCCCAGCTACTCGGGAGGCTGAGGTCACTTGAGCACAGGAGTTCCAAGACCAGCCTGAGCAACGTAGTGAGACCCCATCTCTAAAAAAAAAAAAGTTCCATTGAGTACGCACCATAGACCTCAAAGATCCTGCTTTGTGTTGTTTACGTTTAAGTTGGAGGGGAGGGCAGGGGAGGGGCAGATAGTCAAGGAAACAGCACAGGTGATTTTAGATGCTGATGTGCAGGATAGAATGGGGCTATGGGTAGATCCTTCCAGAGCCAGCATGGTCAGGGAGGTCTCTCTGAGAAGATGTCCTGATCTGACCCCTGGATGACAAGAAAGCTAGATTCAGGGACTTGGGGAGATGGGGGATAGAGTATTCCAAAGAAGGGAAACAGCAAGTGCAAAGGCCCTGGGGTTGCATCACGCCGAGTGTTCGGGCAACAGCCAGGACTCACAGGAGGCTGCAGCAGAGTGCGGGAGAGGGTGAGGGACCAAGGGAAGAGGCAGGAAGGTCTGGTGGGTCCTAGTGAGTGAGGATTTGCGGTTTTTCTCCAGGTCAGGTGGGAGTCCTTGCAGAGTTCTGAGCAGAGGAGAGACAGGATCTCGGGGGCAAGGGCAGAAGCAGGGGCCGCAAAGAGGAGACGCAGGTGGCAGGATCGGGTGGTGGCCGTGGAGGTAGCAGGGCGGTGGGTAGATCTTAGGGACTTTGAGAAGACAGAGCCGGTGGGTTCGGTAGTGGACCAGCTGTTGGCATGAGACACAGAGGGCAACCTTGCATGCCGCGGGTCCCCGGCCTGGTTCGTGCCCTCAGCCCTGACCCTGACCCGTGCCCCCTTCCCTGGCCCCGCTGGGCAGTGACAGTTGCACAGGCTGATGTTTCTGGTTCCTCTCCCATCGACTGGCAGCTTATTTTTAGTTTCTTCTCAGGGCCATTAACTGTCCTTGCAGGCCGAGGCTGGCAGGGCCGGGGGCTGGTTTAGTCCGCAGGTGGTCCCCATTAGTGCCTGATAACATATTTATGGGCAGAGATGGCTTGGCGCTCCAAACTGTCCCCAGAACCCCTTGCGGAAAGGACCTCTGTCAGCAGAACTGGCCGCGGCTGGGGGGCTTGAGTGACAGAAAGTCCAGGGAACAGCCTTTGGCAGGGCCAGGGGAACTGGGCGGGACTTGGGGATGGGTGTCCTGTGAGGGTGAGTCGTTGGCAGCGGCCAGAGTCCGCAAGTGGGAAACCCTGCGAGAGTCTCGAGAGCAAGGCCGTGGAGCCCCGTGACTCTGGGCACAGGTTCTCTGACTTCCCGGCCTGGATTTGAATCCTGACTTTGCCACTTCCTGGCAAGTCAGTTTCTTAACCTCTGGGGACCTCAGTTTACTCATCTGTGAAATGGAGAGGCAGCACCTCTTCAAGGCATGGCTGTGAGGATGAAAGGATGCAATAAGTGTGAAATTCTATAACTGAGCCTGGCAGGTAGCAAGTGCTCGATACACGTACTCAACGAGTCTTTACGAGGGTCCCGTGTGCCCGGCCCATTCTAGAAGCTGTGGTTAGTGCAATGAGCAGAATAGACAAACCCCTGCCTTTAGGGAGCTGGTGCTCTGGCGGGCAAAGACAGACAACTGATAAACAAGTAAGCGTCTGAGATGTATTAGAGGTGACGAGTTCTACGGAGAACAGGTGATGCAGGGAAAGTGGATGGGGGAGGGGTGAGGAGGGGCGGCCAAGCGAGCCCTACTGAGGAGGTGACACTGGAGCAGAGACTGGGGGAGGTGAGGGAGTGAGCCCAGTGCATACACAGAACGGGGGCTTCCAGGCAGGGCCAGCAGGGACCAAGGCCCTGGGGTGGGGCCAGGCCACTCGGGCCCTCCAGGCCGTGGGGAGGGCGCTGGCTTTTACTTTGAGTGAGATGGCGCCTGTTGAGGGCTCTGAGCAGAGGAAAAACATGGCCTGTAATGCCTTAATCATTCCGGATGGTTCTGGCTGCAGCGGGGGCTGTAGACTGTAGGGGAGGAAGCAGGGCAGGGAGGGGGCCGCTGCAACGTCCAGGCCGGAGAGGACGGGGGAAGGCCTGGACCTTGGGAGAGGGCACCAAGGGTGACTCTGGATTTGGCCCCAACAACAGGAAGGATGGAGGAGGGGCTATGAGCTCCTGGAAAATTGTGGGAAGAGCAAGTCTGGGGGAGAAGATCGGGGTCTGGCGCTGGGTGTGCCGAGTTGGAGCTGGAGGTGGGGCACCCGGAGAACAGTCTGGAGACGGGCCTTTGGGAGTCGTCAGCGTAGAGACCCTGGACTGGAGGAGGTCCAGGTGTGAGGGTGTTGGGAGGAGGGGGCCACACCCTGCGGCTCCCCAATTATGAGGGTGGGAAAGATGAGGAGCAGCCCGCAAAGGAGGCTGAGGAGGAGCCTGAGGTGGGAGGACAGCAGGAGGGAGCCCCACCCCACAGGCCGGTGCAGGAAGTGTCCTGAGAGGCAGGGGGATCGGCTAGGTCAGACAATGCTGCAGCCAAGAGGCTGAGGAATAGTAACTGTGGTTGCTACCGTCAGATCAGAGCTGATGAGTCAGGAATAAAAATTCCAAAAGATACTGAGCACTTACCATGGGCCAGGCATCCTGCTGAGCACTTTGCAAACATCATCTCCCAGGATCCTCACAGTCTAGACTGACGGAGACTTCTGGGAGGGGCGGCCCCGTGGGTTGAGATCCAGGCAGGGGAGGAGGCCGGCTCTAAGGGGAGTAGGGCTCACGGGACAGGCTTCCCTGCAGCTCGGAGCTACTGGCCCTGGTGACAGGAGAACTGTGACCCACTACTGTCAAGATGCGCCAATCACGTTTCATCCTTGTCCGCCTCCAGCCCCGATCATGTCCTCAGCCCCAGGAACTCCTGGGTGGTCCTGAGAGGTGGGGTCGGGCCGTGGGGGCTGCAGGGGTCTGCAGAGCCTCAGCTGAGGTTGTCATCATCAAGAAGAGTCCTGGGCACAATGACAAGGGGGTGAAAGGCAAAAGCACAGTATTTAGAGTCGGACAGACGTGGGTGGCATTTCAGCTCTGCTACTGCTGTTGTGTGACCTCGAAAAAGTCCCTTTTCTGAGCTTCAGTTCCACCATCTGTAAAGAGGATTTTTCTTCTTCAGCAGTTCGATTCTGAAATAATTCTGCATCGTGGGAGGGTTACACAGGTAGCGCAGGGCGTCCCCAGTGCCCTTCGCTTGCCTTCCCTGGTGTCACGTGACCTCAGCGCGCTGTCAAAGCCGAGAGTCGGCCCTGTGCGGATGTCCCCGGGGCTCCGTGGTTCCCTTTCTCTCCCAGGACGCAATCCAGGGTATCGCATTGCACTTCACATTTCTGTTTGTCTTAAGTAGATTTTATTTTTAGAGCAGTTTTAGGCTCAAAATCGAAAGGAAGGTCCTCGGATTTCCCGGGAGCCCCCCCTCCCCCTCGGCATCCCCCACCAGGATGGTGCGCTCCTTACAATTCATGGCCCACCTTAACACGCCATTTTTATACTTGGGGTGCTTTTTTTATTTTCTTGAAATTTTTTTAATCACAAAATTAAAAGACACATGATCCGTGACCACCCCCCCCACTCTCCTTTTCTCTGTGCCGGCTCCCTGAAATCGAGTGGACGAGGTCTTCCCTTTCCCGTGCATTCTAGAACACGTCCCAAGCCCGATTCTCTGTGGCCCAGCCCGGTCCCATGTCCCCTCTGAGGGGACCGCAGCCCACACCGGGGGTCCGGAGCAGATGCTCAGCCCGGACCATGTGCACTGACCCAGAGCGAGGTGGAGGTCGCTCTCGAAGGGGAGTGGGTGCTGCCACCCAGGGGTGAGGATGCCAATGCCAGGCAGGTGGGGGCAGCAGGTGCCTGTACTGCCCCGGAGGGACCGTGTGGGCCAGAGGTGACAAGACGGTGCCCATGAATACCAAGCGTGTGGGCTGGCCCACGGTGAGTGTCCCTGGAGGTGCACTGCCGCCACCGGAAAGGTGGAACAGAGGAAGCGCTGCTGGGTCACGGACTTGGGCCGCAGTAGCAGGGACTGAGGCTAGATGGGACATGCCTTCCTGAGCCAACCGAGGCAGGGCCCCCCGGGAGAAAGCTCAACCCCCAGGCTGGGGAATTCAGGATCTTATGGTCATGTGGGCACACGTGCACACGCACACTCACACACGTCTGTGCTGTTGTGGGACGGTGGTCTTGGTCACCTCCCTAACTTGCAACAGGTTTTTCCTGCAAGCAAGGGTAACCCAGTGCCCGTGTGCTTGACTCCCGCTTGGCAGTTAACGAGCAGTGGCCCCGTCTGACCACCAGGGCAAGATAAAGCGGCCTTGGCGCTGAGCTAACCCAGTGCTGAATTATTTATCGCCCACGTCCCCCAGGCTGTTTAAGTGATGGACGGCAAGCGACCTTGCTGTCTCAGCCCGACCCGAGGGCCGGAGGGCCTGAGCCTTGCCTGTTCTCAC